AGTTGTTCTAGTATTCTTGATATGCATATATGCCTGTCAAACTTTCTTGTCAACAGTATTTTTTTCAATTTTCATTTTTCATTTTTAAAATTTTTAATAATAAACTAACTAAAAATACGACTTAACTCATAGAAAAAGGTTCTTGATAATACCGATGTAAAAATAACAATAAATGATAATGTTGAGCTTTATATTTTTATTTACTATTCAAGCTTGAAGGTCTTTCCACTATGGGAATTTTGTACAAATGACCTAGTGACAATATCCCTAAAACTAGACGGAGGAACTAATCTGATTGTTGGATCCGTATATCTACCATATGACCAACCTGGGCTCCCCCCACCAAGGAGGTGAGAGAACTGGTTAGTCATTGTGAAAAAAAAAAAATCGAACTTCTTCTAGAGTGTGATGCCAATGCTCACCATATAGTATGGGGAAGCACTGACATTAATAACCGAGAAGAAGCTCTTCTGGAATTTATTGCATCCAATAAACTAGAAGTTGCAAACGTTAGAAATGAACCAACCTTTGTAACATCTGTGCGAAGGGAGGTAATTGATATAACCCTAGGTACACAACGGGCATGTTCATTGACAAGCTTAGCTTCTCCAGCCATATAGGAAAAACAACAGAAAAAGCTGTAAAAATACTATGGGCCTGTAGACAGATGGTAGGGAACGCATGGGGGATTAAACCAAGTATGATGCACTGGCTTTACACTATGGTTATAGTACCTGTTATAACTTACTCATCAGTCATATGGTGGCACAAGACTAAAAGCATAACAGCTAATAGAAAATTAGACAAGGTACAAAGACTAGCCTGCCTAATAATAACAGGGGCATTTAGAACTACGCCCACAGCAGCAATGGATCTTACTGCTAGGTCTTCCTCCACTACACCTTGTGGTGGAGAAGGAGGCTATGGCAGCGGCATAGCCTCCGGCATGGATTTGGATGGGAACTTTCGAGAAAAGGACACCACACAATGATATTAGAGAAATTTAAATAAAATCCGGTACTAAGAATGCCATCGGATAGAACGCCCATTATTCACGACTTCAGGAAACCTTTTGATATTCAAATACCAGAAAGGGCCAAAAGCCGGGAAAAAAGGGAAAAACAAAACGAATCAATCTGGTATACAGACGGTTCGAAAATGAAAAACAGCACAGGATCTGGGATCTACCATGTGAACTCAGGGAGGACAATTAGTTTGAACCTGGGGTCACTGACAACAGTCTTCCAGGCTGAAGTAACAGCAATAAATGCCTGCGCCAAAGTCATGCTAAATGACTCTCTTAGAGATAAGAGAATCGTTATCATGACACACAGTCAGGCAGCCCTTAAAGCACTAAAAAGGGTAGAAGTACAATCTAAATCAATATTTGATTGCCAACAATCCCTCCAGGCTCTGTCAGAACATAACAAGGTTACCCTTGAATGGGTGCCAGGACATGAGGGAGTGTTTGAAAACGAGAAAGCAGACCTCCTAGCAAGAAAGGGAGCGGAAAAAACTCTTATTGGACCAGAACCCACATGTGGTATCTCATACCAACATGTTAAATGGGTGTTAAAGGAACGAATAAAAAGAGAACACCATAGGCTCTGGATAGAACTTCCTGGACTTAGACAGTCCAAAAGATTCATAGAGGGGCCATCCACGAGCAGACAACATCAACTGCTAAACCTTAGCAGAAGCGAACTCAAGGCCGTAATAGGACTCCTTACGGGACACTGCGGCCTTAGAAGACACCTAAATCTCTTAGGGATATCTGATGACTCCCTATGTAGAATATGTGAAGAGGAGGACGAAACTCCTATTCACATACTATGCCACTGCCGGAACCTTAAATGGGAACTGGAATGGTACTTCGGGGTACAATATCCGGAACCTGAAGAAATCGCGAAAGCGCCCATCAGACATATTCTTGAATTCATCAAGAAAATCAATTTGATGGGATAGAAACTGTGAGGGGTACAATAAGCCTAGAGCTTCAGTACAAGTGGGCTTTGAACCACGCCCTAATTCAGATGATGATGATGATGATTATTTACCAAAAACATAATAGACTATCAAAAATGTTCCTCCAATTCGAAGCACTATTTCAATTTATCGAAAATACACAGAACAGATTTTTGAATACCCTGTATACAGTGTCGGCTGTTGAACATTTTCCAATACACTTTGCACAAGTGCATGTAAAAACTACAGGGAAACAAATAATAGCAGCGTTGCCAGTTTATACGGCCCGACCACATTGTAACATTGACAGAAAGATTTATAAACGTGAAATTTGTATTTTAGGCACTCATTTAAAATTAAAGGATTACGTCTTTAGTCATTATTCAGTTAGGGCCGGTGTACACAATTTTGATGTGGTACTTTAAGGACATGCCGATTCTTGGTTTTTGTTTGAACCGTTGCCGTATTGACCGGTTTTTGATAACGTAGGTCACTTTGTTTTTTATAGCAATACCCTATAGATAATATTTCATTTCCTCGAAAACAAATACTATTATCAGAAAATCTGTTAAGTATAAATAATACAAATAATGGAATCGCCATGTCCTTAAAATAATAACTGAATATTATCCAGACCTTAAAATTTAGAAAAAAGAATCCTCAAGAAAATAATGGATTTCTTATAGGGATACACAAAAATCTTGAAGTTTAAAAATTGATATTTAAAGACGTTATTTAAATTAAAATTAAAAAAAAAATGTGTTTTACCAATAATTTAATTAAAGAAATGTATTAATAAAAATGAACCTTTGATCAAAACAGCTGCTGAACCTGAATCAAGCAGGTAATTATGGAAAATTCATAAGCTTAGTAAGAGGGATTTTCCCGAAGTAAGTAGGTTTTGTGCCACGAAACATCAGGCAAAATATTCATTTTTCTGATTTCACTTCCACGAATGAGAAAAAAAAGTGTTGCGGCTCGAACACGAAATGTCAATGATTCTTTTACAGAACCACATGATTTCTTGATTGGTTATTAATTATTATTAACATTTATGTGTTAAATTTAATTTGAAAATAATTTTTTTTTTTTAGATTATTCCAGAACATTTTGTAGAATGCCAATTTGGCATTATTTTTATTGTTCACCGTTTTGTTTATGGTGATAGTTATTCACTAGGTACTAGGGTGTTACAAGTTTAAGTCAGAAAAATAAAACGTACTACAATCGATCGTATATTTAAATCGGTTTCGATAAATAGGTATATAAAACAAACAGAAAACTTTTATAATGCTTAATATATTCAAGATACTGTTTTTAATACTTCTTTATAAATTCAAAACCATAATCTATTACAAACGAATTCTGAATGTTTTAGCAGATCTCAATCTGATCCAACTTATTTATTATTTGTGGAATTCTTTTCTATTCTGGAAGTCATATTTTATTCAAAGAAAAATATACAAGGTATCAAATAATAAAGTACAACGTATGTATTATAATTTTTTACAATCGATCGAAAAGTTTAAGTTTCAGGAAAAATTTTCTTTCACAAATAAACATTTTAAAACGCAAAAATGGATATGACACAAAGATAAATATTTAGTGAAATACGGATAATCCACTCGAGTGGTAGGGTATATTTTTTCTACGCTTGGTGTTTTGTTAAATATTAATAAAAATAAATAACTTTATTGCTCTCATGAATATAGATTATCAAGAACGTAATTACACAAAAAATATAGGTATTACCTGAAATCAAGAGGCTTAAGGATTTTTATTCTGCCTGAAATTTTTATCAATTATACTCGTACAAAGACAGTAAATAAACATGTATGTTTAATTTAAATAAAATAAAAGTAGTATATTTAAAAACTGAGCCAGGAGAAAATAAATATCAAGATTTTTTTTAAGTACTTGCTTAAAATTTATATCAATGAAAAATTATCACTAGTGCAGCTCAGTGGTTCAAATACATAATATTATATTAAACAATCACCATGAGGAAGTACAAAATTTTCTTAAGTTATCTAAATTGATTAATCTTAGAAAGCGGAGGTACATTATGTCATTGTTGATTGTTGTTAATCCTCCTTGGAATTTTAGAAGATTTTTAATAAATAATTCGTATTTAAATAAATAGTGTTTCTTTCCATAAAAAAATTAATATTAAAGACAAAATTAGACCGATATTAAAAAATAATGGCAATTAACTGGCTATTGGTTTACGTATATTTATTATTGGTGAAAAAGAAAAAGCTCTGTCTCGAGTTTCGGGGGGCTCGGGAAGAGAGTCGACAACAGTATTGGTCTACATTGCTGCAGACGGCACTTATCTCCCTCCACTTATTGTGTTCAAAGGAGAGGCGGTCCAAGCACGTTGGACCTCCGAAAAAGCATTTACAGGAACGTTGTATGGAGCATCGAAAAACGGATGGATGGAGGAGGCTCATTTTTACCATTGGTTTGTGACATCGTTTATTCCCGAGGTAAGAGCTCGCAGACTTTCGCGTAACCAACCTAATCAAATAGCTATCCTACTGTTCGACGGCCACTGCAGTCATGTAAGCGTCCGTATTGTAAATGCTGCTATCCAAAACAACATAGTACTCTTTCGATTTCCCAATCACTTGACTGATAGGATACAGCCTTTGGACAAGTGTGTTTTCGACCCCGTAAAAATCAAATGGGATAAAATATTAGTAGCCCATGGCAAGTCTGAAATGGGCAAATCATCGGGTAGGCTAAGTAAACAAAAATTTGTGGAGCTGTTAGCTGAAGTTTGGAGAGATGGTATAACACCAGCAAACATCATATCAGGGTTTGAAAATACTGGTATATTTCCCATCAACTGTGCAATGTTTTCTGAAGAGTTCTTTGATCCCATAAAACTCAAAAAGTACAAGGAGAGCATTAAATCTGTATCCTTGGGGATACAATCTTCTGATGAACATGTTGAACCTACTGCGGGAAAATCCGTTATAGAGCAGAACGGTCCTATTCCTGCACCATACCCAAAGATGACTCCACCGGAGATGACTCCAGGGAAGGAGCCATTAACTTTACAAGTTGTTTTCCAACTGCTCCAACACCATTCTCCGAACCGCATTCTTCAATTATTTACTCAAAAGTTGCAGGAAGCATGTATTAATACTGCGTCAGACGTAACCAGTGCCCTTCCCAGAAAAGTTGTTCCACGTTTGAAACAGTCTACTTACGGAGAAGTCTTAACCACTTCTGAAGTTTTGAAGAAACTGAAAGAAGCTGAGGAAAAGAAAAATGCTAAAGGAAATGTGGCTAAGCCCCGAAAAATGAAAAAGTGCAAAAGTAAAGGTACAAAAAAAAGGGAAAGAGAAACTTAAAATTCACTCCATCTGATATCGAAAGTGAGGAAGACATAAATTTATTCGAAGAATCTGAGGAAGACGACGAAAATTTACCACCTATCAATAAAAATGTCTCAAAAGATTTGAAATCTGTGGAGTATGGAGAAGTGAAGTGGGAGGATTTGGAGGAAGACACATTTATCCTAGCAAAATTCTCTGGAATAGGCAAGCCCTCCAATAATAAATATAAATATGTTTGCATAGTTCAAAAGAAGGATGAAGATGATGGTGAAATTGCCATTATAGGGCTCAAGTCATTAGACGAAACCTGTTCTGACTTCTACATCAACGAGATGATTGTATCTTATATTACAATTGATAATGTGACTGCTATTTTTCCTAAACCCGATACAAAATTTGTGGGACGTAAAATGATTTACTCGTTTCCTGGTAAAGTAGACAGTTTCGAAAATTAATTTCTTACCAAGTATTTTATTTTAATATCCTTGGGATAATTGTAAACAGTACTCGAAATTACAGTCCTGAAAGAACGAAAACTCATCTAATTTATTCTATGTTCACAAATACCCCTATAATGTTAAACAGGACTCATATTAACGACAAACACGATGTTTACAATTGCCCCAAAATTTCAATAATTTTTCTTTTTTCTTGGGTAATTGTAAACATCTAATATTTCGATAAATTCCACAACCTTATTCTTGCTATGCCAAGCACATATGCACAAACCTTCAAAAAAACTCCACCTAAAAAAATTCTTTGGTAAACATTTAAGTTTAGATTTTAACAGACCTCGAAGATTTTTTTTATAAAAATCGTTTACCATTACCCCAACTAACCCTTCATATTTTTATTTTTTTTGTTAAAGCAAAATAATTTTTTAGTGAACTGATGGAATCTAAAAGAAAGAGATGTGTTTATCGCCCATGTCTACCTCGAACGGATTCGAATACTAGTTATTTTTCATTTCCCAAAGTTTCAGAAACGTATGCAAAATAAATTATGCAATTTAAACGAGGAAAACTTATAGCTCTACCTAACAAATAGTTTAAATTTTGATCCAGATATCCAAATTTACCAACGTTATGTGCTACGTTTGAAAAGTACCTCCTGGAGCGGAGTAGAACTAGTAGATTTTTTAATCATGTGATAATCGAGCTTATGTGGAATAAAAGAACAGCTATAGATTTGTTTGTATTTCCAGTTTCCATTAAAATAAACTAAAACCTTTCTTTTAAATCAAATTTGATTCCTCTTCTCCTAGTTTTTGTTGCAAGTTGCAAAATAAACTTAATTTTTAGCTGTGGTATTTTTCGTTTTTTGCCATCACTAGAAAATAAAACATGTTCTCATTTTCGTCTAACATTATAAATATTTTTTGCTCTTAATGACCATATATGTAAATAAGATGAAAAAGAATAAACTGTGACACAAGAGACAACAGACAACTGTATGTACATCTCACAGAAGTACATCTACAACTTCAGTTGCTTTTTTCCAGTGAACTGTATAGTTAAAAATAGTTTTCTGATTTTTTCTTTGTCCATTGTCACATAAATTACATTTACTCCGAAAGCTCTAAAATTTAATTAGGAGGAAATAGATCTTACTTGACTTACCAGCTCTGCATTAAAAGACCATGGAGCAGATCCCATCGAGAAACCACAGATGTATTAAAAGAACGGCTTAGAGTAAAATGAGTAAAACTGTATATTATATTTATTTGGCTATTTAATCAAAACAATTATTTTATTATCATTTTTAAATCAAATAATATTTATGTACCTATGAAAATGTATTTTGTATTTTTTTAGGTCTCCCATGTAGTTAAGAGCCTGTAGTCGAGAAGACTTGATTAATATAACCAGTTAATAATTACACAAAAGCTGCCAGTTGTGTAAAAAAACATTTCCAATCCAGTAGTTTTTCATTTGGATCAACTCGGAAATGTTTATTAGAAAATGTACTTCTGACAATATTCTGACACACACCCGCAACAGATGAAAACAACGATCATTCTGAATGAATCTGTACCCTACTAAATCCCACGACGATTTTCTCATTACACCAGGTATTAAAAATAATATAAAAGTGTTGTGTATGTACTTTTTTTATTTAAATATTTTTTTTTAGGTCTCAGCAAAAGAATGAGTAACTTGAAGATTGAAGAGATATTGTTGTTTCTGTTTCGATAATGCATGTGCCAGTCCCAAAAATATCCTTCGGTTGGGCCACAATTTTTAAACCAACCATTTGCAGATATAGTTAAATCACAAGAGGAATTTAAAAACAAAAAGCCTCTAGCTAGAAGATATTCCAATGAATACAAGCAATTTGCGCTTACCTTGTATTTTTTAGGACCTAGGGCATATTCCTTTGTCTAAAATTTTGTGCCTTTTGGTGTGTAATTTTTATATTGAGATTTTTATTAATTTGATTTTTGTAATACATGTTTTTCGTATTTTGGTTTATTAAAATTAATTATCAGTAAGAGAACGTGTTTTATTTATAACAACCTTTTTCCTACAGTACTTTTCTTCAAATCTCAATTTAATTCAAAGTTCTAATAATTATGCCTCTAAAAATGCAAATTTATGTGTACAACAAATTCATATGATTTATAAACAAATCCTAAGTCCAGTCTGGATTTATGAAATACAGTTACGAGGATGTGCCATAATATAAGTTTTCCAAAATAAAGAGCTAAGATGTATCAATGATACACCTTGGCTCTATCTAAACGATTATCTTCATACAGACAAATAAGAAAAAGAGGTTACTGCAAAACATGAGAGTCGACTCCACTCCCACGTTAATGAAGAAGTGCTGCAATTACTGGACAACTGTGCACAGAAGACTCGAAAGAAAGAAAAGCTATTTGAGCTAGTGCTAGTGTAAAACAGTGTAATAAATCGATACGCCAATTATTGGTGATACTTTTCTACCAACGACTACTAGATTAATTTTGTTTACAAAAATAGAATTGTAAAAAATCACGGATTCAAATTATTATAAGAGAGTATGGCGAAAGTCTTATTACAAGGATTGTTTATGGTATTATTGACATATCATAAGGTTCTAAAACACATAAAAGGCTTTCAAAATGACAGTTGGGAAGTATATTTGCATTTTTAATGCCAATTATTATCAGTTTAATCTATTTTTCTAGATCCTACTATCATAGTTAAAGGTGTTTTCCAGGAAAGTACACAATTAATTGATACATCAATAAATTGTAATAGAATCACTCTGTTAAAGAGTTAATGTTATCTAAAAAAAACTGATGAATTAAGTACAACGAGTATTCGGTCTGGTTCCTCAAGTAAAAACTGTTTTTTAGTTTAGCGATCAGTACAATTTACTTCAAAATAAATTATTGTGAAGCCTTATTTTTCTTATTATATCACTAACCTTCAATTCAGAGAAGAAATAGTGGATGTTGCTAAAAAGTTTGTTACATATATTTAATTCATTTTCTTAGTGTAATATCCGAATTTATACAAATCTTGGTAATTTTTACCAGTGTAACAACCGGCAAGAACGTCAACTATCACCGAGTGTCACTTTAAAATTTGGCCCCCCCGACATCAAACGTGACGACGCAAGCCTTAGCTTCTGTAATAGTTATTCTGTGCTAACAGGTGATCAGATACATACTGAAAATATTAAATAATACAGAACTGGTTGGTACTGACCTTAAAGAAATCAATAATATAGGTAATAAGAATAAAAAAAAAATTATTGGAAATTAAACACAATATGGTCGTGTGAGCTATTTTTGACCAGTCTGGTCATGTTCTAATAGACTAAGTTCCTCTCTGTCCTATTTAGGCCTTTTACGGTCTTCACTTTTCCCGTTATTTAATAAATCGAGTCACCGTCGAAACCCTCCCCCCGTAGAAAACGCCTATGCTTGGTCACGGCTAGTCGAAATGAATCATTCATTCTAGAATGCACTAGAATGATTAAGGCAGCGCCTAAACAACGATTATGGCGAATGAATTATTCTATAAAATGGCGGGTGCACCGGGCCAAGAATGTGTTAATGAGGTAGTTAGTTCAATTTGAGAAATTGTTCAGTACATATAAATATAAATAGATCTAGGAAGTGGATGTAGCACAGTTGTTTATGCCGATAACCTTGCCCTGATTATAAAGGCTAACACAAGAGAGGACATAATTCAAAACGCCAATTGGGTATGGACGTACCCCAAAGGATGAAAACACATAAACTTGAAATACCACAAGAAAAAACCAAAAGTGTTATTATCAAAGGTAAGAAAATTACTTCAGTTAAGGCAGTCAAATACTTGGGGATATGGATTGATGACTAGGCATTTTTAATATCCATCTCAAGAAGACGGCAGAAAAGGCAGAGAAAGCAAGTGACAGCTCTATCGAGAATCTTGACTTACATGGAAGATCTAAGCAGCACCAGAAGGTAATTGGTGGATGAGGTGATGCAATCAAAAGTTCTATATTCAGGGCTATAACAATAAACAGAACAAACATAAGAATCTGGTGTTAAGAGTACAGAGTAGCCTCCGCGTACAGAAAGGCTTTGGGAGAAGCACTGCAAGCAGTCACTGGATGTATATCTCTGGATATACTTGTAGATGAAAGAGCAAGGTTGTACAGCAGATGAACAAATAATGCGGAAGTTAAAAGATCCGAAAGATCTAGAACAATAGAAGAATAGGTTGAACAGCAACATTGACAAAGCAGTCTGGATGAAGAGGTTAATGCCAAATATTACAAATTGGTTAGAGTACAAGTTTAAGGAAACAAATTATTATCTGAGACAATTTTCACGAGACACGGATCTTTTAGGGCTTATGTCTACAGAATTGGTAAATTGGTAAGACACCTGATATAAACTTGTCAATACTGTAATGAGGAGGATACGGTGGAACACACATTTTTTAAAAGCAACGTAAGCAAAGATACAGACAGGTTAAATAACACCGGAAAATATTATGTACAAAATTATGGCTGACAGAAAGAAATGGGTGGAAAGAATAAGAGAAATAATTAAAATTATAAAGTATGAAGATAAAGAGGAAAGAGACAATCAAGGAAGATAAGGTAAACACTAACAGAGACGAATGAAGCAATGCTCACAAGAGTTTTACACGGCGTATCTGTGACAAGCGTTGGGTTTAGCAGGTAGGCTATCGTTATTTGGTAGAATCCTGTACGTCTGGATTCAGTTCCTAGATAGTCTTTGGAAGATTGCCACCTCTTAAGAAAAAAAGGTCAATTAGCTAGCGAATCCCAAGTTGCCATAAATATACGTTCACATGATATAGGTAAATGCACGGAGACTTGTGCAGAAACATGCGGCGACATGGCTACGATACAAAATGCCGATACAAATTTGCTCTGATATGTGTAATACTCTTTACAAACCCAAATTCGAGTGACGCCATTATAGGAAAACTAGTGGCATAAAAGA